TATTTATTTGAAAGGCAGAGTTACAGAGGGAGGGAGGGAGTATGAGAGGGGAAGAGAGAGAGAGGGCTGGGCCAGGCAGAAACCAATAGCATAGAACTTCCTCTGGGGTTCCCTCAGGGAGAACCGTGCATGTGGGCCATCCTCTGCTGCTTTCCCAGGTACATAAGCAAGGAGCTGGACCAAAGTGGAGCATCCAGGACTCAAACCAGTGCTTGTGTGGGATACCAGTATCACACACAGTGGCTGAACCCTCTGTACCACAACTCCAGCTCCTGTTACTAAAAGTTAAGTCCAAAAGTTTGAGTACATTCCAATTGTTAAAACAATTTAAGCTCAAGCCACGAGAGTGACTTCTATCTTGTATTTAAGATTCCTTTGTGCTCTATTAAGTGTAGCATTAGATGAGTTTGTGCACATTATACAATTTGTGCACATTATACACATTTGTTTGTATATTGTTATAGTTTGTTGTTGAAACAATCTTGAGCAGTGACAGCCACTGCAAGAAATGCTGGTAACCTTTTACACCCCCGCAGTTGGGCACTTGTTTCTGAATGGAGGTAGCAGTAGCATCTAACTAAGAAAACAAGTTAGCTGAAAAGCTGTCCTGCTCAGGAATAGGCCATATAAACTTTATTGGACATTCATCTTAGATCTGTATGTTTTATTGATGCCAGCTAGAAGGGGACCTGTCCAGACATCAGCCTAACTAGAGTCCGGTGTGTGTGTGTGTGTGTGTGTGTGTGTGTAAAATACTCATTAGAGTTCCTTTTTGCTTGGTTTCTAAACCACTGTATATCCAAACATTATACAAAATATATATTTGATATGTTTTGCTCACTGTAAGGACTTTGTACAATCAAGGGCTACTCTGTAATGCTTGTGTATAAAAACTGCTAGCATAGTCTAAAAGACAGCAAGGAAAAATGTGCTGAGGCGACTTTTTCTCCTCTACTTTCTTAACTGCTGTTCCTCTGAAATAATAAGAGCTGAAATAGATCTTTTTAAAAGATTTATTTATTTGTTTGAAAGGCAGAGTTACAGAGAGGCAAAGAGAGAGAGAGATCGATCTTCCATCTGCTGGTTCACTCCCTAGATGGCCACAGTGGCCAGAGCTGTGTTGATCCAGGAGCCAGGTGCTTCTTCCAGGTCTCCCACACAGGTGCAGGGGCCCAAGCACTTGGGCCATCTTCTACTGTTTTCCCAGGCCATAGCAAGAAGCTGGATCAGAAGTGGAGCAGCTGGGACTTGAACCAGTGCCCATATGGGATGCTGGCACTGCAGGCAGCAGCCTAACCCTCCATGCCACAGGGCCCGGCCCAAATAGTAGATTTGATCAAACATAAAATTACCTCCCTATGATCCTGAGCCCTTCCCAGGACCCAGTAGTGTGTGTGTCTGGTTGACTTATGCATTTGGCTGACTAAATTTTATATTACTGTCATGAGGATTTTCTTTACCTCTTTATTATTTATCACTTGAGTAACTAAAGAGCAGTCAAAACAGGAAGATGTGTTTTTGCATGATATTATGATGTATCCCTGCTTGAGAAGAACATCCTGCATGTTCATTCACATCTAGGGGACTGTGGGATTCATTGCCTTTAATAACCTGTCCACAAGCCTCCAGAAACCACTGGCTGCCTTTGAGTTCCAAAGCATGCTTTCAAAACTTCATATCATTCTTTTACCAATGGACTGTACAAGTGGATTTTACTACCCAGTTTACTATGACATTGATAAATGAGCCAGTTTCTTCTTCTTTGCCCTTAACACTTAAGTGGAAGACAAGTTCAAAGCCCCTTTTTTATCTTGGCGTGTAATATTTGTATAGACCGTTCATCAATGATAGCTTTGATTTTGCACCTTTATTTTATTATCATCTTCTAGAGATTCTTTGTATATCGTTTTCCAGCAGTGATTTAAAAGATGGCCATATGTTTTTGAGGCTGGATGTATAGAAAAAGATATTCTTTGTCATTCATCCCTCTGCCTTCTATTGCATAGTCTTGCACGTGTGTGGGGCGGGGAGAGAGACAGAGAACATTTTTTTGTTTTTGTTTTTGTTTTTTTTGACAGGCAGAGTGGACAGTGAGAGAGAGAGACAGAGAGAAAGGTCTTCCTTTTGCCGTTGGTTCACCCTCCAATGGCCGCCACGGCCGGCGCACCATGCTGATCCAATGGCAGGAGCCGGGTACTTATCCTGGTCTCCCATCCATGGGGTGCAGGGCCCAAGCACTTGGGCCATCCTCCACTGCACTCCCTGGCCACAGCAGAGAGCTGGCCTGGAAGAGGGGCATCTGGGACAGAATCCGGTGCCCCGACCAGGACTAGAACCCGGTGTGCCGGCGCTGCAAGGCGGAGGATTAGCCTAGTAGGCCACAGCGCCGGCCATATTTTTTAAGGATTAATTAATTCATTAATTTATTTGCAATGGGGTTTACAGTGTTGGGGGTGGGAGGCAGAGGCAGAAAGAGAGAGAGATCTTCACCCGCTGGTTCATTCCCCAGATAACCACAACGGCTGGGCCTGGGCAAGACCAAAGCCAGCAGCCAGGAACTTCATCTAGGTCTTCCACGTGGGTTCAGGGGCCCAAGCACATGAACCATCCTCTGCTGCTTCTCCAGGTGCATTAGCAGAGAGTTGGAAAAGAAGTGGAGCAGCTGAGACTCGAATCAGTGGGCATATGGTATGCTGGCACTGCACTTACTGGCTTTACCCACTACGCCACAACACCAGCCCTGATAACTAACTTTTGTTAGAAACTTGTACCTGGGTACTGTAACAACAACCATGTATGCATTTCAGGTTAACTCAGTAATCCAGTGAAATAGGTTTTACCCTTTTTAATAAGTAGACTTTATTTTTTAAATTTTTATTTATTTGAAAGGCAGGCAGCTACACACACACACACACACACACGATCTTCTGCCTACTGATTCACGCTCGGAATGCTCCAATAGCCAGGGCTGGGCCAGACCAAAGCCAGGAACCAGAAACTCAAACCTGGTGCCCTGCGTGGGTGACAGAGACTTAACGACTTGAGCCATCATGGGCTGCTTCCCAGAGTTTGCACTGGTAGGAAGCTCGATCCAGAAGCAGAGCAGGGACTTGTACCCAGGCTCTGATAGGGAGGGCGAGCATCCCAAACATCTTAACTGCTGCCCAAATACCTGCTCCTTGACATGAGCTTGAGAACTGTTTTAGTTTACAAAACTGAGCAAAATGTACAGAGTTTGCATGTTCTGTCTTGTTTCATCACCCTACAACACACAGTTTCTACTCTCTTTAAGATCAACTTGCTTTTGTGCTTATTCATATAATCAATGATCCAATTAAAGTCCAGTGTTCATGTTATGGTCCAGTCTTGGTGTTATTCCTTCTGTGGGTTTGGACAAATGTATAATGAAATATATCTACTGTTAGGCTATCATTCAGAATATTTTCCCTGCACTTAAATTCCCCCATGCCCTGCCTTTCCTCTTTCTTTTTTCTTTTTTTGTACTAGAGAAAATTACAGCTGAGAGATAAAATAATTGTCTAAGGGTCACAGAGCTAAACAAGTTTGGGTCTGTTTTGCCTGCCTACAATCTGTGCTCCTGACTCCTACATAAGGCTGTCTGATTCATTACAGTTACTGAATCATTTAGAGAAGCCTAACTTTGTAGGACTCTTGTTATCGCTTCTAACATTATGAAAGTACATGTATAGAAAACATCATTTTACTGTGCTTTCTTGCATTGAAAAAAATCTGTGAAAACTTCAGGGAATTTTAGAATTTTTATTATTGGGTATATGATGATACTTTTGAATTGAAGAGGAATTACTGAGTGAAGTGGCATTTGTTATATATAATGAAGAAATTGTATGGTCATTTGGTTATCACTAACTGCCTATGGGAGACACTACAAGTTAGGTACTGTCTGCTAAGATGATAAAGGCATGAAGGATGGATCATTGTTTTAATGACTGAATGAACAAAAGGACAAATGGGTATGGAGCAGTAAGTCAAAGCTGTATGGATTGTAGCAGATTAGGTCGATGGTACAACTTAGACTTTGAAAAATTGATCTCCTTTACAATGATTTTAAATATACATGTGAAGTAGAAAGCATGTGAACCTACATAGAGTGGACAAGAGAAAGCAGATAAGATCTTTCCTCTTTTCTCAGGACAATGGCCTCTGGACACCATCCAGTGCCCTGGAGCCCCTCAGAGCAGCACAGGAAGGTTCTACTCCTGCCCTGGCCATTCTTCTGTGTTATCTGCAGGCCATTGTGGCCCAGAAATGTGAAATGTGTTGTTTCAGAATCTGTGTGGGTTATAATACTGTTTCATGAAAAACCAATCTATTTGTCTCTCCCTATTTATTATTTATATCCTTGTGAATAGAATGATAATATTTACTTTAAAAGGCAGCTAGGAAAGTGACCTAGCTCTAGATTAAATCTTGCATTGTCAGAGTCTTAGTCCTGAATGATAGGAGCAATGATAAGCTGTAGCTGTTTGTGATACAACACATTATTTATTTCTTCATATATAAGGTGGGCAATTAGGACAAAATGATCTCAAGCACTAGAGTGGCTGTGATTCCGATTAAGGAGAAAGAAGGAGTGAAGAAGATGATTAAAGGGAGAAAATAAAATAGAAAATAACCATACTGTTTCCTGAAAGCTGCCTTGTGCTGTTGGTTTCTGGGAAACCATTAATTTTTTTTTTCTTTTTTTTTTTTGTCTTCTTTCCATGCCTCTGCTTTTGGATCTCTTTGATGGACTTCCCCTCACATTCTGTGCTTCTGCTCTTCTTGCTTTCCATGGTTCTGACCTTTGTCTTCTCACTTTCTAAGTTCTCCTCGGTCCTGCTCATTTAGATATAAAGATACACTTTTCCTCCACGGTGACTACCATGTTAGTCTGCTGCATTTTGGGCTAGGAAGTGAGCATCCCCCAGTCCACTCGTGCTCTGTGGCTGAATCGCACTTTTTCTCTGTTTTTTTTCAAGGGTCGTAAGAGTGAGGCTGAAAAGTTCTTCTTGAAGGCTATTGAGCTGGATCCCACCAAAGGAAACTGCTACATGCATTATGGTGAGTGGCTGACAGTGTTCTCTGTGTTCACTATTTATGTTGTTGTGAGATTTGGGTTTCCCTGGCCAAGAGCAGTTTGAGAGGAGATTGACTTTGTTGTTGGAGATTAGCCTCATGCTACATTCTTACCTCCTGTTCAAAATGTTCAGATTAAGAGGGCTATGCAGAAGAGTTTCCTTTAGTACCTTTCCTAGGTTCCAATGGAGAAGTCAGTTTCACCATTGTCTCTTTGAAGTGGAATGTGGAGTTCAAATGAAATCTCTACAGGAAAACATCTAGCTCTGTGATGCATAATGTGTAATAATGATTTTAACTTTCTTTTCCTTCTAAATGGGAACGTGTTGCTCGTTGAGCATGCCATTTTGAAGTTTTAAAGCTCACATTCGGGCCTCAAAATCTTGCCTTCTGAAACATGTGGATGTACGCTAGCCTATAAATGCCTGTGTGCAGCCAAAGATAAGCTGTAAAGGATATAAAGAATGTCAGTCTCATTTCATTTAGCCCTTGCCTTAATCATTCCAGAATGAGCTTACAAAATAGCGCTGTCACCCTCTGCTCTATCATTACTAATGAGTCATGTGTTTAGTGAAGCAAAGTGTATAGCTGGTTTGGTGTTTGGATAAGATGTGCATGTTTCTACCAGATTTGCCACTGGAATGAATGGCTTTCAAGTAGTCCGCCCCCCCAAAATTAACTTTTGCTGATCCTTTGAAAAAACAATGCCTTTGGTACTCTTGGCCTTGATGTGTTAGTTATTATGAAGTAGTAAACTTAAAAGTGGATGGAAATTAAATCTTAAGGACATAAAGTTAATATGGTTATATAATATTTAATTTCTTCCCTGAGTTTCCAGCTAGTAAAAATAAATCAGTGACAGGCTGTAAGTGTAGAAAAATGGTAATAGTAAAATGAAGGAAACACTTAACCAGCCACAAGGGATTTTTAAATGTATATTATTGTGTATATATGTTTATAAACCCAGGATCGTGATGCTTTATCTTTTCAGCGTAATGTAGAATGCAATCTAACACAAACCACACTGCACAACCACCCTTGTTTGAGTTTGACAGTGCAGTTTTATTGCTGAGCTAAGATACAAGTCAACTAATCTGAGTTTGTTGCAGAATTTAATTTTTATGAATTTTACTATATAAAGTACTTAGAATTAGCATTTTCTCATGCCTATTCTCATGGGTACCCTTGCTGTGCACTGGGGTAGTTTCCTGATTATTTTCCCTCAATGTTAGATGACCTCTTGTCAATGCATTTTATAAAATAGTTTTTTTTTTTTCCTGTCTCAGTGCCTTTACTTCTTTGCCTTAAACTAACCCTACATATTTCATGTTCTGAGCTTCATTCCCATAAATTATTCTGTGTACACAGCATTCTTACACTCAATTTCTTTAAAGTTCATCATTGCTGCATTTGCATTGCAATTGAAAAAAAGCACTATTGTATTAATTTTAAGAGACTGCCCCCTTATTATTCTGGCATTCTTTGCCTAGTTGCTTTTTTTTAATATTTATTTATTTATTTATTTACTTACTTACTTACTTGAAAGGCTGAGTTACAGAGAAGCAGAGGCGGAGAGAGAGAGAAAGGTTTTCCATCCAGTGGTTCTCTCCCCAAATGGCCACAATGGCTGGAGCTGGGCCAATCAGAAGCCAGGAGCCAGGAGCTTCTTCTGGGTCTCACTTGTAGCTGCAGGGGCCAAAGGACTCGGGCCATTTTCTGCTTTCCAGGGTCATAGCAGAGAGCTGGATCAGAAGAGGAGAAGCCAGAACTCGAACCAGCGCCCATTTGGGATGCCAGCACTGCAGGCAGTGGCTTTCCCCATTAAGCCACAGTGCCAGTCCCGCTATTTTTTTTTTTAAATAGTATTTTTTTATTGCATCATGCTTCTAAACTTTTTTCCACCCAGTGTTGGTGGTAGGATGTATTTCTCCTATGAGAATTTTTTGGACTTAATTCAACAGAAAGTGCAACAAATTCTTTATATTGTACGTTATTTGGAAAAGAGTGATGACACATGTCTTTAAATGTATGTGTGAAAAATTGATTCTTCCTAGTACCCCTGGATTGTTTCAAATTTTTTGGCAAATACACATTATTATAAAAACATTTATTTTCCAAGGGGGTGGAAAATAATTAAGTACAATCTTATGAAATTTATAAACTTGAATATATTTGGCTATTTTGGAGTCAGAAATGCAAAGAACTCAAAATGAGGCACCAAAAAGAGCTCCATTGAAACAAATGAATCTACAAAGGGGAGCCCCTGAGTGCTTCATAATCCGTGCTCATCTTGTAAACATTTGTATATTTAGGGGAGTGTGGGTGATTTTCACTGGGAGGAATCCATTGGAAATCACTGGATTTTGGAACTGTGCTGAGATTTGTCCCCCGGGTCTATATGTGGGAGACTTTGTCCTCCATGGTGTGCTGTTGAGGTAGTGGGACTTTGAAGAGGTGAGACCTACTGGGAGGCCATTGGGTCACTGTGTTTGCGCCCTTGGAAGAGAATAAAGTAGTTCTCAGAGAAAGCTTGAGTTACTTCTCGTAAGAAGGTTGTTATGAAAGAATAAGTCTGACCACTCCCCAGTCTCTCTGGCTGCCTGTTTTGTGATGGGATCCACCGCCCTGTGATATAGCTAAGGGGGCTATCCCAAGAATGGCACCGTGCTGTTCAGACATTTTGCCTCCTTACCCAGCCTAACCTTTTCCTTCTAGTAACAGAAAAGGAAGAAACACAAACTGGAAAACTTCTTTTAAAGTTGACATAGCCCTCTGTTGTACAGAAAAATGGACAGAAGCCTAAAGAAATGGAGTTGACTTTCCAAGTCAGTTGTAGGAGATTTGGGTTTGGGTCCCTTGATTATTGTGAATTCTTTTTATTCAATTTACTTTATGACATTTGTAGATATCTAAATATTTTTGAGCGGTGGTCCCATTAGTGTGCAGTTTTAGAATGTCAAATTCACATAAATCATGACTTAGCTTAAAATTCTTAGGTAAGAGACTGTTCCTTTTATATTTTTTAAATGTATTTGCATAGGTTTATTCTGTTTTCACAAGTGAGTGGCGCTTTGTAGGAGCTAGGATGATGTCATCTTCCGACAGTGATGAGGTGGAAAATGAGGTACTTTTTCAGACAAGCATCTCTGAGAATGTGGATTATCAGACTCTAAATATAAACTGCCAGAGCAGGGCTCACACAGAAGAAATAGACTTGAAAGATCTAAGGCAAGAACATGGTTTTGCTCACAACAAAGTAGGCTATGGACTGGAGCTTATTTAAAAAGATGGGAAAGTGGGAAGAAATGCAGCCTCACAGGAAACAGAAGTGAAGCCCCCAGAGCTTTGTTGATCAAGCTTAAGGGATTTGCATTTTATTTGGAAGCATGGAATGAACAACATAAAGAAGACAGGATTAGGGAAAAGTCAGCGAGGAGCAAGGAAACCACTTTAGGGAACTATTGCTGTATTTTAGGCATGAGACAATGATGGCTTAGACTTGGGAGTGGCTGTGGGAATGGAAATACTTGTAACAAAATTGTATGTTTACCTCCTTTAGATGATTCAAAGATAATTAAGAATAGGGAAGAGCTGTTTTTCATTTTTGTACCGTCAATATCTAGCATCTGGCCATAATCACAGTAGTGTGCAGTTGTTTATTGAGCTCAGTTAGGAATATTCTCCATTGTAAAACTGGATCTGTGTCACAGAATTCACTGAAAGGATATTCCCCATGTTTTTACTATTTCTTGTCAAAGAAAATATGTACTATGATTCCCATTTCAGTTCCTTGCCAACTTACTGATTATATATATTCATAGAATATTTATGCCCACAGATTAACAACATGTCAACTGCTTGAAAATCAATGTTTCAGTGAATTCTATGCTTTTGAGTCTTAAACATGTTTTTGCAAACTCCAATGAGAATATCCAAGTGAAAGAGCTTTGTTGAATGAGAAGTTCATTCTTTGGGGCAATTATATGCTTTTAGCTTGCTTGTCAATAATACAAGTGACAGGGAATATACCCGGAAGTTGAGAGGGATTTATGCTAATTCATATTGGCTATGATAGTGATTAGAAGATGATATTTCAAATTGCTACCAGTTTCTTTATTTTGAATCCACTTGTTTTGTGTCTGGGCGAAGGAATTGCATTGCAGATCCTCCCACCCCCCACCCCCAGCCCCCACCCCCGCCTTTTGGTCAGATTGCATTGCAAGAAGTAATACCAAGTTGGTTTATAAAGTTGGGGCAGTAAGTAAGTTAAATGTTGCGTTGTATGGTATTTGTAATCCTGAGATTCGGATTCCTCATCTAGGAAGTGAAAAGCTTGATGGAGTCTCTCAAAATGTTTTCCAGTACTCCTAGTTCATGTTGGTAATAGAAAGCCCATTTTCACTGTCCTTTTATAAAATGATTTTAACAATGTATAGAAAATGGATTTCAAACTACAGTAATAATAATAGTGTAGTATTGTTGTATTCATATGTCTTCAAGCTTAGGTTATTCCATACCCATATGAAGCAAATCCTTAAATTTTTCTGGAATATGGTTTTTAAATCTCAAAGGCAAAAAAAAATCTCAAAGGTAAGGATTTAATGTCTTATGTGGACCTGTAATTAAAGGGATTCTGTTGGATTCCCCGTCTCCAATAGAAGCTTCCACCAATAGAAGGAGGGTAAAGACAAAAAGTCTTCTAGAAAATCATTTTTCAGGTGGAAAATATTTTAAGTCTTTTCTTCTTCAGGCTCATAGCAGTGACTTTAAGGTCCATTGAAACAATTTCAATGCATAAATATTTATTAAAAGGTGCCTACTACATATAAATTCTAGCAGGTGATAGTTTATTAGATACTCAAGATAAAAGCATAAAGAATTGAAAGGGAACAGATTATGACAATTGCTACTAAGAAGAAGAGCAAGATCTTATGTGGACCTTGGATGGTTTCTTTCATTCTGTCTCTTAGCTCTGAATTTCTAAG